AAAATATCACACAAGGTCGATTTTAAGGTCGGGAAGCAAACACATAAATATGCATATAGACCAAGGTCACCAACGGCGATTGCTGTCACATTCGTATCAATATTATACTGACCCAACCTTTTTTCGTACAACCAGGTAGGTGCAGCCGTGATTGGCTGCCTTCTCCTATTTCAACTGAGGAGAGAACAGATATTAAACATTCATCCCTGCTATCCCCTACTTTTATAGGATTAAGATCAGGTCGAAAATGAAGTACCGTTGCCATTTTGGGCTGGAGCTGCCCCCTACTCACTTTCCAGGTTTGAGTTCAAAATGCGTCTCCGAGCCCTTGTTGGGGAAGAATTATCTTATACCTTTCAACTTCCCTCTCACAAGCGCGATGTGGCGATTCTCGGACTGCTCTATCGCTATTTTCATGAAAAGTTCTCCGACGAATTACATTCTTTGGTTCAGCCATGTCTAGCCTTCACGGCTAGGACACGCCATGCTACTGACATAGTAGCAAACCACATTCCTTCCGTATTCCATCGACGAGAAGTAAGTTCCACACAAACAGCTTCTTCCTGCGATCCCTTGGGTGTCTGTTCCACAGACTCCCAAGAGGATGTTGTTCTCGATCGCTACAATTTTAACCTGTTCAAGTTGAGAGCTAATAGTTTTCTTCCCCTTATATCTATACTAACTACGCTTTAACATAACCTTCTGCTACGAGTGGCGCTTGGGCCTTCTACACGGCATAATTTATTTTTGAAAAAAAAAACATCAGAGTAAGAGTTAGAACTTTTTCTGTGTTTGCGAGTTTGATGACAATCTGCTTTTGTTTAAACTCTATTGAAAAGATACTGCTTAGACGGTTAAATGGTGCTGTTTAAGAAATTTAAATCATGCTATTAAAACCTTCCGCTACTCCATGAAAATATTTACAATGCTAGACAATTCTTATCGTAATTTGGGTAAATTCAGCCGTAAAGCAATAATATAAATGTTGAATTTCTTTTCTTTTATTTCAACAAATGAGTTTAATGGAGGGATATATTTTGATGTCCGAGACAATTTTTCTCTTTAGGATATATCTCACACATCTAGAAGTCTACAATTCGTCCATCATTAGAATATTGTCGCCACATATGGCCCACTGCCCTTACTCTTTATGTTGAGCTCCTTGATAAAACCCAAAGAAGAAACAGAAATATTATATTTCCTGATTTGTCGGCTCGTCTTCAGTCTCTTTCCGGCCGCCATAATGTTGTCGCTCTGTGCCTTTTCTATAAATACTTTTATGGCAATTGCTCAGATAAGCTCATCGCTATGGTACCTAGATTTTTAAATTTAAGCGCAGTACTTGACTGACGCTGAGATCTCATCAATTTACATTTGAGCTAGATAGATGTAGCCGTAACTTCTATACTGACAGTTTATTTCTTGCACCTCTTGCTTTTGGAACTCCCTTCCGGCTCCATGATTTCCAGCCAACTTTAATCAGAAAAACTTTAAATGCAATATTGATCTTTATCTACTGTCTTCCTGATTACTCTTTTCTCTTCATTATTAATGTTTTTATTCCTAACTCTTCTACCATTGTTTGTTAGTAGCTTTAGTTGGAGTGATATCAGTTAAAAAATGTTATCGTCACAAAGTGTGGAACCAACGAAACGCATTCAAATTCATGCATTCCCTTTCGTATAAATTCTGTTAGGTAAAAAGCATGAGCTAATTTAACCTTCATTTCAAAATGATGTCTCAATACCATATTCTCAAGCCTCGTGTGCCATTCAATCTAGAAGAAGAACTACTCTGTATTCACAACCGTGGTGGTGGCATCAGGAAAACAAGTTTCCCTATGCTTACCAGGATACACGTCTTGCTGTGCTCTGTCATGGTCAATGTTTATCTATATCACCTGATGCCTTGATCCTGATCTCCCTCCTTCTCTTTATCCTCTCCTCAAACATGATTCTTTACACTTCCTCTCATTCTCGGTAAACCCTTGAGTGCAAGTGACACTCCAGCCTTGCTTGTGATGAAATTCTTAAAAAAAAATAAAAAATAAAATTAATTTAATGATAATATCAGAAAGACGTAAGTGGAGTGCCATGACCATGTTTATCCTAAACAGATATGGCATTAGAAAGTGTCAGATGATGAAAGTGGATATTTTATAACACTCTAACCTGACTCAGAAAATGAGAAAGTTGAGAGTAACACAGCACAAATCATGCCTTTATCAAGTAAAGTGTTGGAAAATATTACTTAGGAATGGTGTACGTGTGGCTCACTTTGACTTACAATCAGTTTGTTTTGCGGTTATAGAAACACTTTGACGAAAAAAAAACTACTTTGGAGGGAAAGAGATTCGCGTTTTATTAAAAAGTTTTAATGCATTCTCCCTTGTAGCAAAAATCAGATCCATGAATTTCGGGGACGACAAAAACGATGCAGATTTTGAAGAATCGGATAAAGATGTCTTCCAGATTTTATGAAATATCTTGGAGAAGACGTTCTCAAAACACAAAAAAGTAATAAAAAAACTACCCTTTCTGCGTTATTCTAGTCGAAACCAAAAACTTTTACAACAGAATTTGGGCCTTAAACTCACTCCAGAGCTCAAGTGAAACCCGCATATACCATTCATCGCTAAAGATGTAGGAAAAATGGTCGATTCCCTGTACCACTAGTTCCTGATATTCTCTTGCGAGAACCAGATCCGACCTAAAATGGAGTAAAGTTGTTATATTTAGGAAAGAGTTGCCCAGTCCTCCGCGTCTTTCTGGGTGACAAATTAATTTCCACCCTCTAACCCCTCGTACACAGATGAAACATTGCACCTCTCTCATTGCCCTATCGCTAGTTCCATGGAAAGTTCTCAGACGAACTACAGTTCTTAGTTCCACCTGTTTTAACCTTCAGGATTGGTCCCACAATTTTACACGGATTGTAGAAAACCACCTTGAGCCACTTCGTTTTCCACAGGAGTAGCTTCTTCCCGCTAACGAATGCTCTGTGGAACTGGTTCCCAAGTGGATGATGTCCCGATCTCTACAATCTTAACCTGTTCAAGTCTAGAGTTAAACGTTATGTTCTACATATGTACGAATGATCTGTGCCTCTTACTCAATAACTCTCTATTTGAGTGGCTCGCGAGTCTTGTGTAGATTGACTATGAATGCAATTCATCTCCTGTCAGATTTTACTGAAATGAAATATGATATAATTGTATACAAAGCAGAAAAATCCGGCAAGGTTCGAACACAGATATTGTGAATGTAGTTAAATGAAGACTAAAAACTGCGGGCAACAACAGCTATGGCTCCCTTGCATGTCAACTTATATCATCAAGTGAATCCCGCCGTACAAAAAAAAAAAAAAAATTAGATTACTGGGATGCAGTTATTAAAAATGTGGCACCTCATTTTAATGGATACATTTTAATAATATATATATCATTACTATTTTTCTGACTATGCGTGGGCGCACACACACACACACCTACAAACACACACACGCCTACACACACACCTACACACACTCACTCCCTCACTCACACACACACACACACACACATACATACATATATATATATATATATATATATATATATATATATATATATATATATATATATATATATATATAGGATTCCAAGGGAATAACCAATAACCAAAAATTACTATTCTTAAAAGAGTGCTCACTACACAGTAGAGCAAATATACTTCATTCAAAAATAATAACAACATAAATTTGGTTATTTTATAAATATAATTTTCGAATAAATTATATATACATATATATATTAGGAGGCACGGTGGAGGTAATGGATAGCGGCTTGAATTGAGGAATCGGAGAGCCGAGTTCGAATTCCAGTCGAATCCATTACATTCACTTACGTGCTAATACCCTTGGGAAAGGTCTGAATACTCTTCTTGTCCCTACATCTATGAGTAAAATAGCAGGACAGACTGGGTTCTATAGCCTTGGATGGCAACTGGTCTAGGAGAAGGACAACTCTGAATTCAAAACCTGCGGAGGGTCGTTTGTGGTACGTAGTGCACCAGGTCTCTGTATTCGGCCCTTCAAAAAGTGTGGATGGTCCTGCACGAAACCTTCACCACTATAATCAAATCTCATGTGCTGCTGTCTGGCTGTCAGTTTCCTAGGAACAGATCTGTTTGACCCTCATACGAGGAATCCGACTGTAGAGTTGGGACCGAGTGAGTATATATATATATATATATATATATATATATATATATATATATATATATATGCTGATGGTAGAAAATTATAGATTCCCACTTAATAACGGATTAAATCACATATTGCTCTATTTGCCATCTTTATGTTATTGACAATAATAATGTAATATGGATTTAGTTCAACACTAAAGCATTATCTCTTAACAAAACTGCAAATAAAAAAAATGTTATTAAAAAAAATTGGCTTTCGTAAATCTATGTTTAATTCCTATTGATATGAACGCTATTTATCAATCCAATACGGCTTACTTATAAATCTATATATTTTTTCTGCGGAGGGAGGCTAAACGGTTACACCCTATAGCATACTTTGTACGGCTTGTATTTTTCGTCTTCTATGTAACGTGCCCTTCCAGTACATGGGCAATCATGACTCTCCACATCTTTCTATCCTTTAATTAATTGTCCTCTTCTGTTGATTTTGTATCGTGTTATTACGGACCGCATCTTAATATATATAATCTATCTATCTATCTATCTATCTATATATATATATATATATATATATATATATATATATATATATATATATAATTTTTCCTGATCACTTCAAAGCATTTACAGAAAAGCGTGAGTAAGTGATGACTGTTTTTAGTGACTGGATAAATAATGTGTAAGTACAGGATTAACATTATTGTAAAAAAAAATTAACGTTAATTCTACAGCAACATAAAATATGAATGGAATTCATGTCCCGTCAGACTTTGAAGTCTGAAGCACACGCAAATGTCGATTTATTCACGATTTTTACAAAAAGAACGCGCTGTTCACATTTCTAAGAGAATAAAAGAAAGAATGAAGAGAAAGAATGAATGTAGAGAATAAAGAGAAATAATGAAAAGAATGAATGAAGATACAAAGTGAAGAAAAACAAAGAAAGAAAGAAAGAAAGGAAAGAAAGAAAAATGAGAAAAAATAATGAAAAGAAGACTGAAGAGAAAAAAGAAAGACTGAAAAGAAAGAAAGAATGAAAAAAATGAAACGAATGGATGAATGAAGGGAAAGAAAGAAAGAACGAAGGGGAAAAATGAAGAGAAAAAAGAAAAATGAATGAATAAAAGAAAGAATGAAAAAAATGAAAGAAATGCGAGAAGGAATGAAGAGACAGAAAGAAATGAAGAGAAAGAGAGAATGAAGAGATTGAATGAATAAATAAATGAAAGAATAAAGAAAAATGATATGAAATAAAGAATTAATGAAAGGAAAAATATAAAGAAAGATGAGAATGAAGAAAAAAAACAAAAAGAGAAATAAAGAGAATGAAGAAACAAAGATTAAGAAAGAAGGGGAGGTGACTCATTTACATATGATGACAAAAACACTGTAAATGTCTACAACTATGGGTAGAGTTCAGTGCCTACTATTTTCTTTCAAATCTTGTTTGAAACGTAATTTTATATTTTCAGACCCGTGGATTTTCGTGAATAATGTTTGCAAGTGAATCGTTTGGATTTGACCTACAAAGATTTTTTTTGTTAAGTTGTTTTCACTTATTTTTCATTTATTCCTTTTGTTTGAATTGAACTTTTGAGTTATTTTTCCTTTTCAGTCTTCCAGTTCAGTTTTCTCCTCGGTTCTGGCCGCCATTTTTTTAATGTTTTTCCAGGTCTGACGTAAATGACAACTGTTTTTATTATATTCGTTTTTTTTTTTTTTTAAATTTATAGTTTAATTTTAATTTTTACTTATTATCCTTTTTATCTGAAGGACCATTTTAAAGAAGTGTTTTGAACCGAAATCGTTTGACTTTTTTAATCTTTTTTATCAGTCGTTTTCTTCAGTTTTCCATCGTTTGTCTTCAATCGACATTTATTTAATTTTATATCTCTGGATTCATTACAAGTTTCTCCAAACTATTTTCTGCTTTACTTTTATTTTCCGTGAAGATTATTTTTGTTTAAACTATTACATTTTTTTTTCTCGTCGCTTGTGCGAATTTTATTTTATTTTCTTCGTCTGTCGGCGAACTTATTTACTTTTTCTTCTTTGGGCGAACGCTTATTTGACATTTTATTTCATATTTGTGCAATTTCTTATAGTAACACCAAAAGTTAATTGAAAATTAGTATAATTTATTTGTTTTCTTATCTTCTTTTTTTTTTTTTCAAAGTAAGTCGAACTTTTTTGCTCCCTATTTTAATCAGTTTTTCTTTAATCAATTCAGGACTTTTATTTTGTTATTTTTTTATCTATTTAATTTCTTGATTTCAATTGTTTTGTTTACTTTTTGTCGCAGAAATTCATTCTGGAATTTAAGTTTGATTTTCTGTTGGCGTTTTAATCGTTCCCGACAATCCATTCTAAATATAATTTTATCACAAGAAAATATATTTTTTTTCCGCTTGGTATTCTTTTCAACATACTTTAAAACGGTTTAATTTTTTTGAATTTCTCCGACAAATGTCTATGGTGACGAAAGACCTTTTCGCGTTTGCTTCTAAGACAGACCCACATGAAAAAAGGGATAATAGATTAGGATTACGGTTTTATTCAACCACTAAATTCCGAAACTAATGAAAACAAGACGAAAAAGACCAATACAACTAATATGGAAGAAGATATGCCAAAATCACTTGGAAAATCACTCAATTGTTGGACGACCTCATCAAAATGGAAAAGGCTAAAATTATTAAAGATGGACTTTTGGAAAACACCGAAAAATTCCAGAAGTTTGACTGAAGTTAAAATAGCGTCAGTCTTCGGGTGGAAATGCTTACGCACAAAATATATCACTCAACGAAAGACACGGTGATCGAATGACTGATGTCCTCAGGGACCAACCCACAAAGAGTTATAAAAGATAAGATTTTTCATGTGGAACGTCCTACTGCCCATAGGGGAAGATTATTCAGAGGTGGCCATATATGAGTTGATTGTGAAAGATCTAACCATAAGAACGGCATATAAGGGTTGGCGCCTCACCATTGTAGCAGTACATGAGGTATCTCCCCTGAAATAGGTGAGCACTAACGATCGTTTAGCCTTCGTCTCCGTCCACAACAGTTTGGGCTTTTGCAGCCGGAAATGCCAGTCATCGTGAAGGACAGAACTTGTTGAAAGTGAGCAGAGTCTGGTCAACTCTCCTCTTCCTGTCTAGAGAAGACGCCCTCTGGATTTCCAGCCGCATGCGATCCAGATCCCCCTTCTAGTCGATATTAAGAGTTACGTGGGGTGGGGGGGCTGTAATGGGCCTAACAGCAACTCGGTCTGGTGTGGATATCCTCCCCCCCCCCAGTTGGGTCCCGTCTCGCATTCTCCACAAAACGAAGCAACTCGCAAGGAAGAAAGGGAATGGCGTATCGTTGGTAAGGGCATAGGGAAGAGCCAAACAGCAAGGCCTCAGTCCTCTGAAGCCCCACAGGGAAAAAGTAACCTACAGCCACATTTGCTCTACCATGCTCTATGGGCGTCTTATACGACTACCGCAACGAACTTACAGAGGAAGTGTGGACCGAGGTGAGACAAAATTCTCAAATTCAGATAATTCAAAAAGAACCTGGCCGCAAAACGAGAAAAGAAACAAATGCCAGTTTTGATGCCGGGACCGTCATCCTCTGCCTCGTCGTCCCCATCAACAAAAAATTCATTCAGTCTACACCTTACAAAATTAAGAACTTAAAGAAAACTACACCATCTCCTTCTGTAGTTCCTTCTGCATAAAGCATACCAATTTCTTCTGCCAATCACACACTATCACATTCACCACAAAAAAAAAAACATCATGGCGCATCAAATGGCAGCAAATTCATGAAAACATTTCAAAAGTAGAAAAAAGCAAACACACCACCTCACAGCCTGTGGGAAGACGTATTCGCGGACCAAGTAGAAAAATCATTGGTGCATAGTAAAAAGATAAGAGACCTTATTTTTTTTTATTGAATATGTAAAGTGTGCACGGGAAGGACATAGAAAATCCCCAGACTTTCCCCAAAACAAGCATCTGTTAACAGTGATTTGATTAGTCTTAGGTGTGCGACAGATATGGGGCATGATCGAGGAGGCCAACGATGTCAGCTGAACTTGCTCACCACTGACCTATTTGGCAACGATAATTTTAAGAGATTACAACAATATTGTGTTGGGATGCACCTGTTTTTTATTCACCCCTCCCTGTAGAGCTCCATTGAACATGTCCTATGCACTCAACGAAAAAACTATGGTACAAAAGGCATAGGGCAACGAATCTACTAGAGGCAAGATTCATAATGCAAATTGGACAGAAAACTATGACAATAGAAAAAAAAATAGATATGGGATATTAGACCTTACAGACCATGGATTATTGCTGCCATATATAGTCCGCTGCCCCTTCTGTTTCTCTCAAGGTTCTTGATAAGATCCAGAGATAGATATGCAATGCCATTGGCCCTGATCTGGCATCTCGTCTGCAGTCGCTCTCTCACAGACGTTCCGTCGCCTCCCTCGCTCTTTTCTTACAAATACTGTCATGGTAACTGCTCCGATGAGCTGATTTCGCTGGTTCCCAGACTTCATGAATTTAAGCAACCTACTAGGCTGCTATCTCGCTCACACACTTTCACTATCGAAACTGTTAAATGTATAGGTCTCTTCTACTCCAATAGCTTCATGTCTCGAACCTCTCGCCTGTGAAGCTTCCTCCATTTTTCCTGTTTCTTCTGATAGCGACAATCTCCAACTATTCAAATTTAATGTCAATCGACGTCTCCAGATGCCTTGATCTATCCCCTATCTTTCTCTTCATCCTTTCCTCTATACTATTTGGTCTCACTCCAATTTTCTGTAACTCCTTGCGTGCTAGTGGCTTCCCGCCTTGCTTGGGGTGAAACACTTAAAAAAAAAGATTGCAACAGCGAGGAAGAAATGTATAATGAGCCTGATAGTGATGTAGGCAAAAGTGTCATGTCAGGACTAGACAGTAAAATTGACAGTAATATAGACTCTGAAAATGAACAAGGACAATCACCGGGGGAACGCTGCTATGAAAAAAAAGATGCTCGATATGTCCAATCTCTAGACAATCTCTTCGGAAGAGTGAGGAAGTTATTGCCAGACAAAAGATCCCAGAAGATGTACCAGAGGATATAACCTCTTCGATACAGGGAGATGAGGTGAGTCATTTACACATGAAGTCACAAGGATTGTAAATAGCTATAACTATTACACATGGAACGGATGAGTGCATACTACTTCCCGTGAGTCAGAAACAGTACACTACAGAAGGAAAAAAAAGAAAAGAAATTTAATGATGCAAGAATGTAAATAAACTATCTTCATTGTATGACCTCCTAGACAAGTTCATCTAAGAAAGAGAAAAGAAAGGACTAACGATCTATTGAATGAAAAAAGAATGTCTGGTTGTTAACATAAAAACATCCACTATGCGATACACACTAATCAAACGAGTAGATGTTGAGAAGTGTTGTAACTGAGGATGTGAAAGGCGACGCCAAAATTTGGAGGGGAATTCTAATCTCGTCATTCTAATAGGAAAAAAAAATAGCAGTCCAAATCTTTTTTTTTCTTTTTTTTTTATTTGCTATATACTATCAATAATATTAAATGGCAGTTGTAAAAAAGATTTGACGCAATAGGGATGTAATTCAACTGAAGGAAGCCGAGAGTACTATGACCGATAAAGCATTATGGATATAAAAAGGTATCTCATATTTAGATTCAGAAAGAGACATCTGGCAATGTTGGGAATTATGAGAGAAGAAGGCTTGGAAAATTTGACACTCACGGCAACTATCGCGGACAGAGGGAAACAGCTATCATTTGCAAGTGAGTGGGATTTGTGTAGGTTAAAAAGAAAGAAAAAAGAATGTGACTAACATCTACAAAAGATAGAATATGGTGGAGATTTTGATCTCCCAAGCCCTGAAGCGATGCCACATGGAAGTTAATCTATTAACATTAGGTATAGTTATATTGTATTGTTGAGGTGTGCACTAATAATAAATATTTTTTTATGATTTATAAATCTCTTTGGATCAGTTCGCTGTATAGGTTGAATAATTGCGGTGAGATAAGACTTTCTTGCTTTACGCGCCTCTGGTTTTGTGTAAGTCTTTCATTTTTGTCCGTATCTTTCCAAGTAGTTTCTTCGTTGTAGATATTCTGAATTTTAAAATTCCTAAAAGAAAAACAATTGATAGACAGTAAGGGAATTGATGGAACCCTTAGACGAAGCAAGAAAGAAGGGCAAGAAGAAAGGACTAACCATAAATAAAGACAGTGTATGTTTGTCCTTAAGAAGAAAAGCCCAAAATGTGAGTACATACATTTCAATATCTTGAATGTCTTCGAAGAGAAGACGGAAAACGGGACATCGAAGTCCGAATGAACATCGCGTGAGTGAAAAGTGACACAAAGTTTTGTAAAACCACATCCCGGTCGACACAAGGCACTTTATCTTTGAGGAATTTGTCCAGCATCCAAGGAGGTTTCATATAACATAGCAGTTCAACAACCTTGTCTTTGTTTATAACGGTATTTCCTTGTTTATAAATCCTTTGTTCAGATCCCAAGCCTTCTTTCCATTTTATATATTCTATTTTATTGCCTATATTCAGTATTCACGTGATTCTCAGAAGCATTTTGTAAAACCACATCTCCGATCAACAATTCTGAGTCAGTATTCATTACACCACTTGCACATCCAAGTCTACAGCACGAGTTATTCCTAAGCAGTCACTCATTTAGATAATAAGGCGTTGCTTACCTTCGGTTATCTTACGGGAATCAGTGTTTCAACTTCAGCTGTCCGTATGCTTGTTATTTACTATGATTAGCTTACTACATAACAAGACTATAAATGTAAGACATCAACTCGTTTTCCAACTGAGATTATCTGTTTAACGATTAATCCATAGAGGCAGATTTAACCTAACAGATCATTTCTATAAATTTGTATCATGATAAATCCCCCAAGCTATAAATGAAATAATTCAAATAAGATATCTAGGCTTTGTTGGGAATCCGTTTTGTAAAAGGATATCTTTACTTTCAAAATAGTTTTTTGCGCAGAACAAGCGACTGAAATCATTTCACCCAATGCAAGACAGTAAAGCCACTAAAACGGAAGGGGTTACAGAATGTGAAGAATAGGAAAAAAAAGAAATATTATTAAGGAGCGAGGACAATATAAGAAGGTTAATCAGTAAGAGAGTAGACTGAAGATCAAAGTTGGTTGGAAAGCATGTGGGAAGAGAGTTGCACGTTCGAGAAAAGAAATTGCCAGCATAGAACTTACGGTTATATCTGTGAACTGATGAGACATTGCCGCTGATCTAGTGCTGCGTTTAAATTCATAAAATGTATATAACATAGCGAAGACTTCATCAGAACACTTTCTATAAAAGTATTTATAGAAGCTACATAACGGCAGTGAGAGAGTTACTGAAGCCAAGATGTTAGGTTAGGACCAATAATATTGCTGGCTCTTCAATTTTTATCAAGAATCTCTAGATATACAGCAGGATACCGAAGCATGTGAGGCAGCAATATTCAAAGCGTGGATTTGGTTTGGTTTGGTTTCTTTTACGGCATATCAACACGAATGGGTTATTTAATGCCGACAAAATTTTTAATGCTGGTAATATTTTTTTCAAACATATGTTGCTAGTAATATCTTTCCTTCAAAAAATCTATTTCTGATATTTTTTTCAAAAATGATTGCAGGTAAAATTATTTTGCCTAAAATGTATTGCTGATAATAATATATTGATGGTAATATTGTTTTTTCTTTTACAAATTATTCCTGGTATTAAGACCTATTTTTACATTTTCGAAGTGTTTTGACCCCAATTTGGGGATTAACTATTTGCCCATAGCTGGGACCGTAACACCCCGTGTCAGGGTGGACCTGGGAACACCAGCAATTAAGAGATGGTTCGACGCTCCTCAAAACTTCATGAGTCCTTGCTGATGGACGCTGATGTAGTTTATCGCCATACCCAGGACGGTCAAGGTGTAGGTGAATGGAGGTAAAAATTGTCTAGCATGGCATAGTGAAATAAAATTTTAACCGCAGAAGCCATTGATTCAAGGTAGTCGTTCTACTTCATGTCAACCGAGAATGTAGGCCCGAGAAGGTGCAAAGAGTTACTCACACGGATTTACTGTCAACCATGTTGCTGCGAGGCAGGAAAGCTTCTTTCAGATCATTGATAGAGGTTTCCTTTTTGAAGGCGTAACAATTATCAAGCCATTCCTTGCAACAGTTAACAACAGACCATATTTCATTCTTGAGCTCAGCTGCCCGTTTGACCTTAACAAACTGATCAGTTTCACTGTCGAATCAGGAATCAATGGCTGTGTCATCAGCGTTCGATATCAACTTCAGAACAGCTGTGTGATTAGTTTTAAACAAGTTTTTCAATCAGTAGAACTGAAGACCCCAAAGCCGAATCGATAAAAAAAGAATTGAAATAATAAAAAAAAAAAACACGACAGTACATACACTGAATCTATTCTAACAAATTAGAATTAATAAATGCTAAACACTTCATATATTTCAGTGTATGGATCAGTTATAACCAATTTAGTTTTTTATATAAGGAAATCGAACAGACAATAGATTATGCTAGGGGTGTTTTTTTTTTTTTCCAAAACGGCAAATTGCTATAAAAAAAGAAATTAGATATTGAGTGCTTAAGTAGTCTTGGCAGACACTCGGTCGTTTCTACAATTATTTTCATGTCAATTTTTCTGACGAGCTACTTTCACTGATACCCCCAACTGCATGAATTTAAGCGTGCTACTAGGTTGGCATCTCGGTCCGACCCTTTCGCTGTCGAAACAGTTAAATATAACCACCTTTTCTGCTACAACTGTTTCTTCTCTCGCAGTTCC